ACACACACCCACACACACACATAAAGATCTGGTTCAATACTTTCATTTTGTAATTCATGGAATTTCTTTTGACGTCACTGTATTTTAATGATTTTATTCCATTTTACTATAGCATCACCATCACACTAATCGACATGTAGCTAAATTGATTCTGTGCAGTGTCATCGGTGTAACAGCTGCATTTGGGGGGGGGGGGCCGACGGGGGGTCATGATGACCTAACGAGTGGCTATTTAGCCATTTCATGTCAGCAAGCCGAGCTGCAGCTATTTCTGTTCTCGCCACGTTCACGCAGATTGTTAAAAGCTGCTCGTCCACCTCAAGATGAAAATAACAAACGCTGATTCACTGATTCGTGTGCATTAAAAGCTTTTTTAAATGGTGAAAAAAAAAGGAAAATAAAAAAACAATTTTGCCCCCAGATGTCTTTTTTTAAAAGCATAACACTGCTATTGTTGTTGTTTATGCAATGGCTAGAAAGGAAAAAAAAAGGGATTTATTCAAAAATGTTGTGTGATGTGTTTTAGGATTTTACAGATTGTTCAAGCAGTCAGAAATGCACGCAAATGCACGATTTGTAATTTCCCAACAGCTAAAAGCCGCATGCCTTAGCATACTGAATGGTTTGCATGCGACAAATGGGGAGTAGAGCTTTTTGGAAACAACTTTTGCTCAAACGAAGGAAAGTCAATTGATTGTAAATAGGGGTTGCGTTTCTTCTCCAGTCCTTTAAGTGGCGCTACGTATTGCAGAGTTCAACCCAAAAGGTGGACACAAACAGAGAAAGTTGTATGCAAAGTTTTAAAAACAACAAGGAAGTTACACACAAACAACCCAAGCAGTTGTTTGGAAACAACGTCAAACAAAACCCAACCAGGAAGTTGAAAAAAAAAACAATCAAGTCTTGTGCTGGATGGCCACAAAAAAAAAAAAAAAAAAAAAAACACCCAAAAAAAGTCCCATTGCAATTTTTGTTGGCGGTTTGCGGGGCCTGGCGGCGGGCCTATTACGGTGTGGCGGGCTGGTCCCGCCTTGGTGTTGGATGCGGTGTTTACTGATGCGAGGCGTAGAGATTGATGGCGGGCGCTGATGTCTTTGCACTCCGCATATGAGACGCCTCATCAACCTCAAATTCGCCGCCTGGCCCACGACCGCCATCAGTCACGGCGGCCGCTCCCCCAACCCCACTGACACCCTCCCAGCACCCCTCTGCCAGCTCTGGGGGAGGAGTGAGAGCAAGTGGGGGGAGGGAAAGGGGGTAGATAATTTGGGTGGGTGGCGATGGATGGTTGTCCGCAGCTCCATCTTGGATGGTTGTGACTGCCTTATGGATTTGTCGTCGTCATGATTTTTCATTACAAGCGGCTCGCAGTCCATAAAGCCGCACATTGCTGACACGCCAACTTCTCTGTGCGCCTTTTGGTCAACACGTTAGCCATCGCTAAATACTAAAAAAAAAAAAAAAAAAAAACAACTTTCAGGGTTGCGTAGGTGCAACTTCCTGGGTTGTTTCCATGCTAATTTCTGGTTCGACTGAGGGGTAAAAAAAAAAAAAAAAAATCCTGGTTTGAATGTGTATGACTTCCTGGTTTGTTTGTGGGCAACTTCCTGGTTGGTTTGGGTGAAACAAAACATACACATTTACACACATAGAGACATAAAGACACACACACACACACACACACACACACACACACACACACACACACACACACACACTACATATACATTATATATACAGTATATATATGCAAACCCGGCAACGTAAATATCCACAGTTAAGTTCAGAAGGGCCGGGGGAATAAAAGAACACCGCGTGAACTCTTATGGATATTCTTATGATTAAAAGGCTGCGGCGTGGTGGAAGATTACAGCGTGGGCACACAGGTCCCCGACGCGGCGCCACGTTCCCGTTGGTTCATTGTGCTACGGGAACCTGACGGCGCAATTACTCGTCCATTTCCAGCCTTGGCGGACGGGAATCGTGCGGCGTGGGCGGGAGAAGCGTATGCTAATTGCCCCAGTGCACTTTATCATTTGGAGGTGTTGTGCGCGCCCGGCAGCCGCATTAGCGCAGACAAACAAAAAAGAAACAAAAAAAGAAAGAAAGAAAGAAAGAAAGAAAAGATGGTCGCCACCAGCATGCAGGTTCATCTTTCTCAAAGTATCTCCTCCTACATGAGCATCCTCGCCCACACTCCAGCGTGTTCACAAAGGGAGAGGGCAATAATTAAAGGGAACAAAAAGGCCCTCCGCACATAGCCTCTTAGGCTACGTTAACACCGCAATTATCTCGCTAAAATGGCAGTCTTAATTCGAAAAACTGTCACACGAGTTACGGTTATTCGTGCAGAACTACGGGTTAGAGAAAAAAAAAAGATGTAAAAAGAAGTCAAAGAATGTAAAAGAAGATGTAATGTGCATGCCAGGCCACTAGGGAGCGATGTCACCGTCCCCGTTTCCAGTGACTGACTAAATTGCAGTGTCGGCAATATACGCCTTCGCAGGGACGTTTCATGAGCACAAACGTACAGTAGCGTCAATGTACTATTTTATGCGATTGATTTTCCTCATTGATTTGTAAACCATTGTGATAAACCGATCCATGCAGATGGCGCCGTTGCATCACTTGAGATTTTAAAGTTTGTTTAAGGGGGCACAAACGGGTGTTTTTGGTGATGTTCTTAATCTGTTTTCCAAAGAACAACAACAACAAAAAAAAAACAGCAGTGGCAATACTGCCAACTAGTGGCCTGGCATGCACATGGCACGTCATTCATGACATGAGCAGGGCTCAAAACTTTGCAAAAGAGAAACTTTTCAGCGATTAAGTGTTAGAGACCCTGCGAGGCGCCACGTGAATGGCCTTTTGTTCCGTTTAATTAACTCTTGCCAAAGACGGCCAGAAGGAGAGAATAATGAAGCCTTTGGCGGCCATTTTTACGAGGTCATTATCCAGTACCTTGAGAGACCTCCCGAGAGACGTTCAAGCGATCGATTCATTTTCACTTAAAATCTTTGCCTTTTTTTTCTGAAGAGAAGCAAAAAATTTTTTGTTTTGTTTCAGGGCGAGAGACAAAGGCGGCGAGGTTATGTGCTGTGGTTGAGTGTGAGTCAGTGTCGTGGCAGGTTGCGGGGCGCGTGGAGGGGCGGGGGGGGGGGGGGGGGGAGCAGGCGGGCGGCTAATGCAGAGTGGCAGTTGATAATGCCAAGGCCGTGATATCAGCCAACATCTGCCCTGCGGCACACCTCCAGCGCCGCTGTCATCATCGGCACCATCATCAAGCATTTCTACACGCAAATAACAACGCAACTCCAACCAACCCCTCCCTCGCAATGCAATCTAATCAAGCAGAGGTTGTCATGTGATGCCTTAAAGGGCTGTTTGAAACGTCGAGCTTTCCTCGCACAGCACGACTCACTAAATGTCTATCCGTGTAACAGTCCGTGTTGCCCTAAGAGACGGGCATAGATTTCCGCACATAACGGCCACGCGGACTAAATATCATCCGTCCATCCGTCCATCCATCCATCCAAAGTCAAGTGCTGCCTTTGGGGACGGTCTGAAATCATTGTTTTCGTTCATGCAATCGACCCACTAATTAAATAGCAATCAATCCACCCAATAATCCATGCATCCATTGTCAAATGTTGCCTTGAGGGACAGTCTGAAATCAGACATGTCCAAACACAACTGAGCCATTCACAATATAGTCATCCATTGTTGAATTTCCCCTTCTGAAATCATAACTTTCCACATGCCATTTCCCTCCTCTCCCCTCCCCTCACCTGTTGACGTACGCTCAGATAGCTCTCATGGATGAATCGATAAGAAATATAATGACACGTAACTGTCTGCGAAGCAGTCAAAAAAATGTAAGTAAAAACGGTACAAATCACACCCTTCCGTGTTGCCTTCAGGAACAGTCAGAAATGAAAAAAAAGATAAATCGTTTCAAAACGTTCTAAGCCATTCACAACACCTATAATTTTTATCTTGACAAAAGGGGAAGTAAAACTAATTGCAATCATGTGGTTGCACAAGTGTTCACACCCCTGTGATCCGAACGAAACAATCACATTCCAACCCATGGTGAATGGGAGTCAGCCCACACCTGACACCTTTTGAAGTGCCACTTGTGAAAACATCAGCTGGATGTCAGATGTTCGAGTAGGCTTTTCCTGGCATTTCTTTTTCACTTCAGTCAGGTGTTGCCTTCAGGGTCATTCCAATATCGATTTACCCCCACAACTGTTTTTCTCTCCATCATTCCGCCTGAAATCACGGCTTCGCTCACAAGTGATCAACCAGCCTCCATCCCTTCAGTCCCGTGTTGTCTTCAGGGAGAGTGGGAACTCATAGCTTTCATCCAACAAAAGATTTTCCATCCATCCATCCACCCACTCGTTCATGCTCAAGTGTTGCCTTCAGGGACATTCCTCAAGTAAAGCCTTATTCCCACAACTGATTTTCCATCTCTCAATCCATAAAGTCAAGCGTTGCCTTCAGGCACATTCTGAAATTACAGCTTCCCTCACAGGACTGATCTGCCCACCTGGAGTGGCGTGTTGCCTTCAGAGTGGGTCGGAAATCACCAAACGGTCAATATATAAATATTTACTTCAAGGCGAAACTGAAGGAAATGTGACAATTGCCATGAAAGCGCACTTGAAATGAGCATCACCACAAACTCCCGGAGCAGCAATAATTGATAGCTCGTAAACGAGGTCCCCCCACCCCCACCCCAATGTTCCCCTTGTGCAGAGAAAGCTTTAAGAAGCCGTGCAAAATGGCTGCTCCATCCATCTCTCACTCACTTGCTCTCTTCATTGAGTAAAATTTCATTCATGCCATTTCCCTTCATTCATGATGGAGGGAAGGGGAGTGGAAAGAGGGGGGGAGGGGTGGGCGGGGAGGTTGAGAG